AAAGCTGGACAGTGAATAAGGAAGACCATAGAAGAATTGATGCCTTTGAGTTGTGGTGTTGGAGGAGAATACTGAAAGTGCCGTGGACTGCCAAAAGAACCAATAGATCTGTTTCGGAAGAAGTACAACCAGAGTGCTCCTTGGAGGCCAGGATGGCTAAGCTTCGTCTCTCATACTTTGGACACATTGTCCGGATAGAACAGTCACTGGAGAAGGATGTCATGCTGGGTAAGGTAGAGGGTCAGAGAAAAAGAGGAAGCCCCCCAACGAAATGGATCAGCCAGGTGGCATCATTGATGGCGTCAAGTGTGGCAGCAGTAGTGAGGTTGGCCCAGGATCGGTCATTGTTTCATTCTGCTGTGCATGGGGTCACTATGAGTCAGTTCCGACTCGATGGCACCTGACAACAACATGCAGATTTGCCTAGTGCATGTTGTCTTTGACAGCTTGACTCTTTCCTCCATTTATTATGATATTTATTGGTTCAGTTGTGAGGATTTTTGTTGTATGTACACTTAAGTGCAATCAATACTGAAGACTGTAGTCTTTGATCTTCATTAGCATTTTAAGTCTTCACTTTCAGCAAATAAGATTGTATCATCTACATATCAAAAGTTGTTTGAGTCTTCCTCCAACAACATGGCTGGTTGTTCTTCATAAAATCCAGTTTCTCAAAACTGTGTGCTCAGCAAACAGACTGAGTAAGTATGACAAAAGAATACAGCCCTGGTGCACACCTTTCCTGATTTTAAACCATTCCGTATCTCCTTGTTCTGTTCAAACAACTGCCTCTTGGTCTATGCACTAGTTCCTTATGAGCACAATTAAATGTTCTGGAATATCTGAATCATCCCATCAGACCTGTATTACCCCAAAATTGTGCTTTATCCTGGCATGGCACACCACAACAATGAGATAAGTTTTAGAGATACTATTCAGTTAAATAATAGCTAGAAGGATTCCCAGATGAATCCATTTTTGTCTTGTTTGGCTTTGGTGGGCAGCGTTGTTGTTTAAAAAAAAAAATGAATCTGAACGTCCTGGGAGGACACCAAAAGAACCCATCACACGCTTGCTCAATAACGTTATCTGTTAGGCCACCAAAGGCTTTTGATATTGTGAACCCTACTTGGCTGCTAAACCAAAAACTAAATGACTAAAGAGGAAAACTTCCATGGAGGGTTTGAGAAATAAAGGAAGGTCAAAACGAACAAGAGAAAAACAAAGAAAAATGATAGAAGAGAAACTGAGAAATGAAGATCTCATCAACAGATAAAAAGAGGCTTGCATAAGGCAACACCTCTCTTGAAAAGGCTGGGAAGAAAGGGAAATGTTCTTCAAAATAGTTTTCACAGAAAACTCAACAAACTTTACATAATGTTTTATGAAGAGGTTATAAACCTTGGAATCTGAACATGGGCTTTGTAAGAAGAAACTCCTAAAAAGGGGGGGGGGGATCATTAAACAATACTAGTGGTTGTTATATAAATACAATAGCAGTTCTTTCTCAAAGGCTTATTATAGCTTTGACTTAAAAAATATATCAAAGACTACATTATAATCTTAACAGTTGTCAAAGGCAGCCTTCACATCACTTTAAATCGTTTACCAGCTGACTCCAATGCAAAAGTAGATTTGAAGGTAAAAGAGAGACAGGAGTTGAGTTCCTTCTCTTCTTTCTTAGATAGCTTCGCACAGCAAGAGAGGAATGGGACTTCATCCTCCACTGCCTTCACCCAATCTCTACAGCCCCCAGAGTTCATAAATCCCACTGCTTCCTGATGAAGCACAGTGGGATTAATTATAACAAATGAGTTGTGTATCATTCTATCAGCTTGGAATATTACTCTCTCAGTCATTTACAGCCTACTCTTAACCCCAAAAGGGCATCCTTGTGGCACAGAGGTTAAGTGCTCAGGTACTGAATCAGAATCTACTGTTTAAGAAGATCACCCGGTGAGTCTTAGGTACATTCCTAAGAATCACCTGGGCACCTTGTTAAAACGGAGATTCAGATTCAATATATCTGGGGTGAAAATGCAAATTCTCCACAAATGATTGAAACAGTTGGAATGCCCCGGTTCTAATACGTGACACTAACACATACATCTTGTAAACGCAGTTTATCTCTCATTGGCAGGCAAAGTGAAAAAGACTTGTTTTAAAACGGACCACTACAAGGAGAAGCCAGTTAAAATGATGAGAAGCCTCTTGACCCGGAATGTGCGGCTCTCTTCGGACATCAAAACCGTCATGAATCTCAGGAAAATGCAAGAAAGGAAGCCTAGTTGTGTTTTTTGTTTTCAATAAATAGCAACCAAAGAAGACAATCCAATACCGTCATTTAAAAAGTTGTGTGAGACGGCATCTCTCCGAACAGTAAATGTCCACACACACTTAAATGCCTAAACTCCCCCTACTCTACACCAGAATTCGCCTATTCCTGGTAGCTACAGGCGGAATCGACTGCCAGGAGTTTGGGTTTAGTTTGGGTTTAGTCCTCACCTCCATGGGAACTCTGCTAACAACGTGCCCGTACCTGACCGAGCCTTTCAGCTTCTCTACTCCCCTCGCCTAGGAACCCGTTCCTGGGCTCTTAGATTCTTCCGACAGTCCCACCGGGTCCCCACCTTTCACTTCCATCCCTTTCCCTTTCTCCCCGAGTCCCTTAACCCCTTCCCTCCCGCTCCTGGCTCCGCCCCCTTTCGCTGCTGCTTTCACCAGCGCGCCCCCCACCTCCCTAGCCCCCTTTCTCAGGCCCAACTTGCTTGAGTATCCCCCCCAAAAAAACACACAAACACACATGCACCTCCGATCTTCTCGCCACCGCAGGCTGGGCTCCCAACACCTCCACCCACTCCCGCGAAAACACACCCAGTTCCCCAACCCCCGCACACGGTGGTCCCGGAGCAGGGGACCCCCGGACCCGGCCACGCCCCCCATGGATAATGGGTGACGTGGCGGCCCCCGTCGCAGTGCACCGCCGCAGGGCCCGGGGTAGCCGCGCTCACCCACACGAACAGGCTGTCCGAGAGCAGGTACTGGGCCACTTCGCGGGCCCGAGGTCCTCCGATGCTCGCCGGGGCTGGAGCGAGCGGGTCCGGCTGCAGGGAGGCCGTTAGCGGCTCCGAATGGCTGGGCCCGGGCCCGGGCCCGGCCTCGGGCTGGCTGAGGGCGCGGTAGGCGCTGACGATGGTGCCAAGCAGGGCCAGGCCGCTGAGGCCTGTGTAGGTACGGAGGCTGGGCCAGGGGAAGCGCTCGAGGAAGAGCAGCGGCATGGCGGCAGCGGCGGCCTCCGGACGCCGGGCCTACTGCGGCAGCCTCGTGAACGGCACCCACAGCCTCTGGCGTTGTTGCTGCCGCCGCCGCCGCCGCGCCAGGCCGGGCCGGGCCGCTCCTGGCCGTTCGCGCCGCTCCGAACCGCCCCGCGCCGCTCCCGCTGCTGCCCCTGCCGGCGCGGAAGAGCCTCGGCGGTCTCGGGGCGCGGGCGGGACGGGCGCGGGGGCGCGGCCTCCGTCCCCCGCCCCTAGCCTCGCACTGCCGCCCTCCGGGCGGGGGCCGGGGCCCCAAACTCTGAAGGTCAGCACCCTGCTCCATCCTCTACCTCCTCCCCAGCTCGACCGGGCCCGCCTAAGGCACCCGCCCCGGCCCAGCCGAGACCGTGACGTGACTCCAACCCGACCCAGGCCACGCTGCCTGCCCACCGGACGTGGGAAACAGCCCCAGGCCTCCGGCCGCTTGCCCCTTCGCACCCTAGGTGGCTGAAAGAGGAAGCAGTGCTTAGGATAGAGCGTGATGGAATAGTGATCTACATTCCTAAAGTGCAATTGAGTCTGTTCCTAATCATAGCCCAGTCTGTATAGGGTCTCCACGGAGTTTGAACCGCCGACCGTGCAGTCCAGTGCTTATCCTACAGCGCCACACCGGGACTCCTAGGTATACACACAAGAGAAATGAAAACAGACTTGGTAGTGCTGCTAGTCAGTCGGATTCAGAGCTACCCGGAAGAGGAGTCCCGGTGTGGCGCTGTAGGTTAAGCACCGGACTGCTAAGATCAGCAGTTCAAACCCACCAGCTGCTCTTTGGAAATCCTGAACCGGGTCGCTCAGAGTCGAACTGCTTGGATGGCACTTAACAAAATAGGGTTTCCAAAACACGGTAGTTTGAACAGCCATTTTGGTTAGCAATCCAGTGCTTATCCTACAGCGCCACACTAAGGTAAGTAAAGTATTGCTACAAAATCATAGAAACGTTTATCCAAAATATGAAGCTATTATTTCTCCACGTGATTTTACAGTTAGGTTTATACAAAACCCTTCCTGGAAGAATTCTGCATTCTTTGTTTTACACGTCATAATGACCATTTTGAGACTCAAGTTTATTTTCGATGTTTTGGGGAACAAAAAAGGTGCAAGATCAAAGCTGTAGGGTGGATAAGGTGAGGTTTCCCAAAACAACTCTCACAGGACAGCTCTTGATAACCTCAAAAAATAAGCAGGCACAATACTGTTAAGAGAAAAAAAATCCTCAGCACAACTTTCTTGGACGTTTTCTAAGTAATATAGTTCAATTTTCTTTAAATTTCCTCATAAGCTCCTATGATCATCCTTATATCCTTGGAGAAAATCAAGATTACCCCTTTGGAATCTCAAAACAATTGGCATAACCTTCTTAGCTGACTTCTCTGCCTTGAAATGGCCCAGCAGATGGCTTCAGAAGCCACCATTTTATTTGGACCTTGATCGTTTGGATCGTACTGACAAAGATTTGCCACTGTTTATGTCCATAAAATTGTAACTACCTTCGATCATGTTTAAAAGACTTGATAGAGACATCAAGGCAAGTGGGTGGGTCCCCTCAGAGCAACCCCCCTTCCAAGACTAAGACTAAATGGGAATACACACTCTGATTGGTGACCACGTTGGTCACCGAAAAGGGAAGTGAAGGAAAAACAGCAATGAAGTTGCGAGCTAAGCCCTACAATGTTCAAGACTCCTGTGAACCTGGGTGGAGACCTGGTTGGCCAGCAGTGTGGCAAGACCTGGGGGCTCCTGGGCCCAGAGTCAGTGACATAGCCACAGAGGACTAGAGTGGAGAGTGAAGCATCCAGATGATGAGAGGGCATATGCACAAGGACACCCACACTTGCAGATAATACCCACTTGACCTGGCTTCAATGACTGGATGATCAGAGCTCAAC